CTTCAGCGTTTTCCTTTGTGTACAGAGTGTCACGAAGTGCCTGTATTGGAAAGACCTAAAGTAAATGGATTCCTGTCATTTGTTGCTTTTGATAAACACCAATGATTAGCGTGTCATTCAGAGACCTACAGTTAGTGCTCCTCAGGGAGTTGCTTCACTGGCCAGTTTAAATCGCTCGTCCCACAATTTGACCCCTGACTCAAATGAGCACAGTCTCCTGACAGGTCACACTGACACACATCATGTGTCAGCAGAGCAAAAAAAAATCATTCTGAATAATCCTTCTGCAGGGTTTAACTTCTGCTAGTCCTATATGAGGATGGGAAATTTTTAATTAACGTTGTAATTATTCTCATTTGTCCTTTGTGGCTTTGCAGTGCTCTGCTCACATGTAATGAATCAGCACTGATCTGACAGGAGAGGATTTAGAGCAGCTTTCACCTCACAATCCCTGCTGCTGAGAGCAGAGGGAAGAAGACATAATTAAAAAAGATACAGTATATTAAACTTACTTCAGCATAATGCATACAGTGCAATGCTAATTATTCTTCTTATTTTCTTTCTATAAAATGTCCAAGGTGGGCATTTGCTCCGCAGTTTAAAGTCCACAGATGTTGATCTTTAGAAAGTGTGTACAAAGACACCTCAGACAAGAAGTTATACAGAGAAAACACGCTGCACTTGTTTCATTAATGTTGAAAACACTGGTTTTTTTTTATCTGTTTTGTTTTGTTTTTTAGACTCACAGGAAATATGAACATCGACATGTTCAACATGATTATCTACAAGCCTGCTCCTTAATTCCTCTAATTTCTTAAATAAAAAGCCAAGTGGTTCAAAGGCAAAGCTTCTTTTAGGGACTCCCTGAGCAGCTGACCTTGAAGTAACAATGATGCAGAAAATACCCACAATTAAAAAGCTGATAACAACAAATTTCTAGCATTTTTGCTTTGAAATGAAAATGATGAACTGACTGCCAGAGCAGTTTATTTTCTGTCAGTTGATTATATGATAACTTCCAGCTCTACCAACAGTTTTGTTTAGCTTTTTTTACTAAGCTCGTGTTGAAATTCTTGAGTGTTTGTTCTGATGTGTTGTACTGATGTGTTGAAATGGTAACTGGCTGGTTTCTTCCATGCAAAAATGTGCTTCTTTTCTCTTTTCATTACATCATTGTGAAATATCCATGTTGGGTTTTAGGACTGCATTGTTTTTGTTTTTGTTTTCTTTTGTTTGGGTTTTTTTGTTGTTGATAAAACCAGCAGCATTTTGCTTTTCCAGAGGAGGGAGTACAACGAAAAGTTGGAGAGATAATGCAAGAATAGATATGAAAGTAATTAAAGATGCAGTTTTAATGATTCATTTGCATTCTGACTTGTACTTTGGATCCTTCCTGAAAAAATTATGAGGTGACATCAGTTTCAGCAGCTATAAACAGCTCATATCACAGTGTGAATGTAGTGCGTTTGCACATAGAAGACAGCATGGTGCACGGTTGGCATATAAACAGTGTCCATATAGCGCATGCACTGCCCAGCACTGGTCACTGCAGAGACACAAGGAGCAGATGGACTGACTGTGAGGGGTAACTGAAGGAAAAAAATAAGAGAGGAGTGACAGAGGAGGAGGAGGAGGAAGAGGAGGAGAAGGGGTGGGTAGAGACAGAGATAGAGAGGCAGAATCACTGAAGTAGTACAGGAGGGCTTGTGAAGGGGAGTGAGCAAGACAAATACTGACAGGCTGAGACACAGAATGAGAAAGGGAGAGCTTCCAGCACCTTAAAGGCAGCAGCAGCAGCTTCATTAGTATCAGGAGGAGAGTCGGTCACATGCAGCCACACCGGGACTCATGTAGATAAACCGCTTTTACCCATCGCTTATGGAGCAGCAGCACAGGGAGTCTACAGTGGAGGACAACAAGGCTGGAGCCAGAGCTTTAAGGAGAGGATGAGAAGCATCACTGCAACCTGACTCACACCGGGAGTCAGCCTCAGCACCTGCAGCGGCAGACTGAGCACTCCGGCTATCAAGGAGACTGGGGCAGACGGGGAGAGAGCTGCTGAGATTATGCGCGGGGCAGAGAGCTCCTGTGGATTCCCCATCTTCGGCAACAGCAGCAGCAGCAGAGGGGGCAGGAGCTGTGGCTCTACAGACAGCAGCCGAGCTAGCTGGAGCTGCAGAAAAACAGGAAGCTCTAAAGCAATTCATTTATCCAGAGATGAAGGTAGCACTTACAGCCAAGGTGTAACAGGAACCAGCTGTCGATGTAGCCACAGTGTTGAATGTACCTGTAGCCAGAGCAGTGACGGTAGCTGCAAGGTGACCACAGCAGTGCAGTCAGGTGTAATTGTAGTAGAAGCAGGGGGGCAGTGGCTCAGGACCCTGAATGACCAGTGTGGCTGATGAAGGCCACCTGGATCCGCTTGCTGAAACGAGCCAAAGGAGGTCGTGTCAAGAGCTCCGATGCCTGTGTAAGGGGACTTTTGAGTGTGCTTACATCATGAAAATCAGTGTGTTCTGTGTGCGTGCACTTGTGTTTTGTGCGTCTGTGCTTCCTTCATGCATCCATCTATCAGTCAGCAGTGCTGGGGTCACTCTGGCATTGTTATGTATTGCCTGGTGATGATGAGAAGTTGGGTGCTGTTATCAGTTATGGCTGTCAGATTCTGGGCAGAGCTCCATATCACCTCCCTCTGACCTACTGGGACGGTGTTCTCGATCACGCTTCATCCTTAATCGTGACCTGAGTAATGATAGCAGTCCAGGTATGCTCACCTGCACTTTTCAAGTACAAAAAAAAAGGTTTATGTGCATTAAATAATAGTTATAGGCCATGATAAGGAGCAGCATTTTCCAAAGAAGTAATTTATACTGTAGGTAAAAATGTTTTGAAAACCACAGGTGGATTGAAAGCAAAAGAAGCCAATACCGCCAATACAATCTAGCTAATTAACGTAGTTTAAAATGAGCTGTTTATTTCAGGTGAGAGGGATGAGAAACAGAGAGGTGATTGATGTAAAGAAGGGCTTTGTCGTAGATGGAGGAGATAAATTTTAATAACCTTGTTTTATCAACAGCAACAAAACTCGTCTCTTTACTATAGCGTAAGTGGAGAGGAGGCACGATCATCCTTCGTATGTATGTGATGGCTGGATAATTCTAATCAGGCACAGAGTGAGGGAGGCTATTTTTAGCTCAGACAGAAACAGAGTGTAATGGTGCAGTGAGATGAATGAAAGACCTTGTGTGGGTGTCAGAGAAGCGTGCAGGTAAGGATAAGACTCATGCTGTCTTCACTTAGTTAAGAAAACCCCCGTTTTATCATATATCCTGATAATTACCTGAAACTGGAACAGATTTGATGTTGATCTGCAAGCGCAATATTTTTTTAATACCCACAAATAAGATAACAAAACTTTTTATCTCATATTTGTGTTTTTCATCTGTACGTCCGGATTTATGCCAGCATAAATGTGGCTACTAATTTCATGTTTAGTATATATCAAAATCAAATCCAAATTAACACATTTTATGAATGCATTATTTAATAAATTATGGAATAGAAGAGTATAATTTCAAAGAAAAAAATCTATATATAGCAGCTTATTCTGCTTCTCACTGGTTGATTTTTTTTTTCTATACTTTAACTGATTTTGACAACATTTCCAAATGTCCACGACAGCTGACGTTAGGAGCGTGGCTATATCAAAATTAAATTTACATGTGTGTATCAGAAACTATATATTCCAGCTTGTTGTGGCTTCCACGATCAGTTTGCTGCTGCTATGCAGCTGTGTTTGATGTGCTGTGAAGTGATTTATGTTGCACTGCTTCAACGAAGGGTGCTTTAAAAAAACTAAAAAACTGCTATAATATCAAAATCAGGGCTATATTTGTTCTAAATATGAATTATGAGAATAAGACTCCATTCTGGATTGTTTCACAATCTCCTCCCATGAAACTACAATCTCCCTCTCATGATTTGGTGTGGCTAATCTACTTGTGAATGACACGCGTTCCAAAATAGGTTCTATTCATATAAAGGTAATTTTTAACAAATGGTTGACCTAAAAAAAAAACATGTCATGTGTTTTATTTCTTCCTCTCATGCTTCTAATAACTTTCCCAAATGTCAGAAACCATTTTTTTCATGGTTGTATCTGTGAACATTTTTTAAGTGTAGAAAAAAAAGTGTGCCCATCTGTTAGATAGTTTACTCAGTAAGCCTGAAAACTTTGCTTTTTCTTTTCCTTTACCAGAGTGTTCTAACTATGTGTTAAAGCATGCAAGCATTGCTTTATCTTCAGTAATTATTTATTGTATGCGTGCGTTTTCATTCAGCATCTAACAACTTGCTGTATATAACTTCTGGTGTAATGGTATGCGCTCAATGCGCTGTGCCCAGGAGTGTATGCTAGGTAGTCTTGTGTGCACTGGTATGTGTGAGTCTGCATGTTTATGAGTAGATTTGTGGCAACCACATATCACACAGACATACCGGGATCTGGTGTTCCTCAACATTTCCCCCAGTGTTTGACACAGAAAGATGACAACAAATCTGCAGGCAAGCAGCTAAGAGAGAGCTAAGTATAGACAAAGAGCTGCTATGATGTGATCGTAAGAAAGACAGTTTGTGTCCTTTGGCACTTTGTCTCAGAAAAAGAAGAAGTGTCAATGATTTTCTGTAGATTAGACCAGCACAGCCTTCCTTTGTGCTCAGGATCTGATGAAATCAACTGAGAATCCTTTGAGTTTAACACGTCAGTCTGTGTGGGGGCGTTCGCACATTTCTAAGTTGCACAATCTCCAAAGTTTAACGTATCATCAAAGAGCGAGGGGAGCGAAAAGCAAATCGTTTTCCTCGGTGTCCTCAAGATGCTAAGAATCTCAGCACGTCTTGGCTGATAAAACCGGTCATTTTTAAAGTGTGAAACCAAATGGACAAGCTCGTGTTTCCGTGCTGTTGTGTCACTGAGTTTTTACTCCTTGTGTCTTCTGCAGGGTTCGGCCGACTCCTACACCAGCCGTCCATCAGACTCCGATGTGTCCCTGGAGGAAGATAAGGAGGCAGTCCGCAGAGAGGCAGAGCGACAGGCTCAGGCGCAGCTTGACAAGGCCAAGGTTGGTATTCTAAACCCTGAGGTCAGTGACTACCTACTAGCCTCAGTAACAGCAGTTTGTCATCAGCATTTTATAAGTTGCACCAAGTGGGATTTCCAAATGTGAGGAGAGCAACCAACACGAGTTTGTGCTTCTCCATGATGTCTGTGTTTGAGTTGAAGGCACCAGGACTGGTTTAGGTGCTGGTGAAGTTACCTCTCACTAGAAAGACTTCTTTTCTTCTAAAAGATGATGGGAAGCCAAGTTGTTTATCTTCTCATGGGATTGTCACGATGGATAGGACATGATTGAGTCATTGTGAGTTGTTAAGGTCAGATGGGTTGACATGGGAATGGTGGTTAAATTGCCTGGGATGGGATCTCAGGGATGCAGAATAGATTAGTAATAGTTGGTCATACATGGACTCCTTTATGTGTTTATACACAACTCCATATTTAATCCTTAGGTATTATTAATCTCTGCCTGTCTTCTACAGTGTGTCTTTTGTTCTGTCTCCCTTTTCTAACTCCCAGCTGGTCATGTCAGATGGCTGCTCCTCCCTGAGCTTGGTTCTGCCTGACGTTTCTTCCTATTAGAAGGGAGTTTTTCCTTCCTGCTGTTGCCAAGTGTGATAGTGGGAGGGACGCACCGCTGGTACATAAATACAATTGAACTGACATTTCTCCTCTTTGCCCAAAATGTGAAAATATTTGCCCTCAAAAGAGTTTCCCCTTTCCTGTAAGTGCAAATACACAGCTGAGTCCTGTCCTGAAGAGGTGGTTCTGCAGTGTTTTGCACCTGTGAAGTTGTTTGGTTTCTCCTTTGTATTAGTCCAAGGACTCCTCACAGCATTGCTCAGCTTGTTTTTTCTCGGTTTTGGGATGAACCAGTTTTTGTCTGAGGGTTTTGCTGGGACTGAAGGTCACTAGCATGTTATGCTTGGACAAACGATTATTCTGTGTTTCTCAGTCAAAGTCAGAAGTTTTCTGAGAATCTTGTGAATAACTTGAGAACAAGGTGGCATAGTATTTTGAAATCAGTACCATAGGTGGATCTACTAGGAGACTGAGAGGTAGGGCTGGTGGCTGCCAGTATTTATTTCCATGTCTCTTGGCTGACTTGATGAAGGCCCAGTTTGGATTGCCACATGTTTTAAGTGCTCTTTTGATGTGTGTTTGTTCCTTTTCTTTTCTCTCTGCCTTAAAGGGAACATTCTCTGCTTGGTGGTGTTTGTGTTCCAGTGGGTGGTGGGATTCAAAGAGCAGGTACTGGTGTGTGTGTGTGGGTTACCAGTAACCGTCAATGTCGAGGCTTCTGTCCTTCTCAATGAGCACTGCACAGTTCGTGAATGGTAACCTGTTTTCTTTGGTATCCGCTGTGGTGAACTTGTTTGTGTCTGCTGAGTTGATATGTTCAGTAAAAGATTTTGACTCGGGTGATTTTTTTAAACCAGTAGCTACGTGTAGTTTCTCTGAAAGAGCTCAAAATTCTGCTTTCCACTTCCTTCAGGTACAGTTTGGTTGCATGAGCTTCATGCTTTGAGAGTAAAAACTCATATGAAAAAACAGGGGCTCCTTGGTGGGTCCACTAAGCTTCCAGTAATGCCCATTTCACGTTCTAGCCAATGGCTTTACTTACTGATTGATAGAAGTAGAAGTGAAGAAGCTAGCAAATATCTACAGATGTAGTAAATGTTTTAAAATTAAACAGGCAATTAAAAATGCTGATAGATCTGTTTACAATAAAACTGCACCTTCAGGAATAAGGTTTGACTGTGTTTTCAATTTATTTTAGTCTGACATAAACATGCGATGGTTAGGATTAGGGGTAAGACACTGCAGTCTTGGGAAATATGGAAATACAAATGTGTGTTGTAGAGAGAAAAATTGGTTTATTATGCTTGAATGAATGATGGCAGGCATCACACAGATTGTAACATAAACTTTACACTGCTCTGTTTGTTGTTGAAAAGCTGAGTCCGCTTCCTTTTTGGCTTCTTTTCTTAGTTTCCCAAAATTTTTTTCACATTAACAAGCAAGCAGCTACCATTTTCTAAGTGATAGGGGGCCACAAGTCAGGATACGGTAGGGGGCAGGGCCAGGTAAAGAAAATAGTTTAAAAGTTTTAGCCCTTCAGGAATATTGTGGTCAAAGTTTCTGTGTAAAGTTGTTGTAACTTGACTTGCCTTCCTTAAATCACTGACTGAGACCTTCATTAATCATTTAAAGTGCTCATTTTAAAATATATCATGTTCTACTAATCCTAAACTAAATCAGTAGACAGTCTTCCTGGACTGACTCAGAGAGAAGCAGGAAATTAGAGCTGATTTTAGCTGGTTTTTCACATGAAGAAAAGGGCTGTCAGGGACCGGTGATGTGAGAGGTTAGGGGCCTTGGAGGGCTCAGCTTCACTGTTTATCAGAGCTTCGCCTGCTCTGTTCTGCTCTGGGCCACAATTAGCAGCATATAAACAAACACACACACACACACACACACACACACGGCAGAGCAGGCTCTCTCTGTGTGACAGGAATTGCAATCAGAGCTCTCTTCCACTGAATGACTTAAATCTCTAGCACTGTTAAGATTCATGCCTTTGATCTGTGAAATAATTCTCCTATCTTCAGTGCACATTGTGTTCCCTTCCTGCTCGGCAACTCGCTAGATAGCTCATGGTGCTCTATTTTTACATATTAATTCACGCAAATGTCTGAAAAATGAGTTTATTGTCTTTCATTGGGTGTTTAGTGTCTGTAACAGCTAGTTTGCTCATTAGCTGTAAGCCTCAAGCTTTTGGCTATCCATCCATTTGAGCAGAGATTTTCCTTGTGCTGTCTCTCGGTCGGGGTTGCTCATGCTGTAGCTGGCAAAGACAGATCATTCCAGTAGATCTATGTTGTTATTTTCCAGAGTCACCCTCTCCGGCTCACTAATTAAAAAGATAAGTTGGCTTTACAGATAACCTGGCATAGATTACCCCCGCTGGCATTTTACATGACAGATGACTAGTAAAAAATAGCTTCTCAGTGGTCTGGCCACCAGAGCAAGAGCAGGCTGGGGTCAGAGGAAGTGCAGACTCTCCGGCTGTGAGCCTTTATGGGCAGTAATTCATAATCACTTCCCCTACATGCCACTGATATTTGTAAGTGAGATAGCGTTGATGCCCGTAATGCTGATTTTTCATCGACTTGAAATATTATTTCAAATGCATTCACAGATTCACGCACACTGTCACCATCTGTCTGTTTCTAATTAGCCTTAAATGGGCACATCAAAGTCAAACCAATCACTGAGAGTAGTTAGCTTGTAAAAGGATGGTTTAATATCTCTAGAAGCAGCTGAGAAAATAGTCAAATGATGACTCAACTACAGGAAGCAGGACTTTAGGAGAATGAACTGTAGTAAAAACTGGGATGTTTTCTGCTGTTTTGATTTTCATGTTATTGTATTTATTTATTTTTTTAGGAGCCATATCTATAGGTATTTTTTGATTGTGAGCTACAGTGCTGTGCAAAAATCTCAAAGTGGAATTGTTGTTATTAAAGTGGTCTTAAGGAATATTTCTTTCTGAAGGCCTTTGCTGAAGATGTTTTTTGGACATTGGCTGCTTTTTCACGGCTGACCGTTTTCAGAGGAATGTTGTTTGCTTGTCTTTTTTTTTATTTGTGTGTTAAGCATCGTTCAAGCATAAAAAAAAATGCACCTTACTCAAAGCATGAACTAGTGTTGGACAGTTTACCAAAAACCCATTTGCTAAACCCATCAAACAAGTTGATTCACACCAAAGCCAAAAACTTGTCATATCACTGCATGGTCTGCAAGTAGAGGACAAAAGAAGAATTGGCAGGCCTTTAAAAAACTAACAAACTACAGCCAATGAACAGAAACTAAAAGTCATGTCTTTAAGAAAAACAAAAGAAATCTGACAAGACCTGAAAGATCGAGCTTTGAGCTCTTCAGTTGATCCAGTCCTGATTACCGTTCACTGAAGCCTTGTTAGAAATGGTCTCAGTGGAAACATGGCTGTCAAGAAGGGAAACAGGGAGAAAAGGCTGAGGTCTGCCAAGTTACACAAAAACTGGACTGAAAATCAGTGGCAACAGGTCTGATGAAGTGATGAATCCGAATTTAAAGCTTTTACTCTGAATCATTGCAAGTATGTCTGGAGGAGGTCAGGAGAGAGGTACAACAGTGAGTGCTTACAGCCATCTGTAAAACATGGTGGAGGCTCTGTCATAGTTTAAGGGCTGGATTCAACCAGCGGTGCTGGGGAGCCTGTCAAAAGTAATGTAGTTATTAATGCAGAAAAGTACCATCAGATTTTGATCCAAAGTGCAAAACCATCTGGAAAGCATCATCATTTTTTAGCATGACAGAAACACACTGCTGATGCAGTAAAAACATACCTGGATACAAAACACACAGTGGAGCTCCATCAGAGTCCAGACACTATTGAAGCAGCGTGGCATCATTTCTACAAAGAAAATTACATAAAGAAATAGGGCTGGCAGCACTGTGCAAACATATCAGCCTATCAGCAACATTTTTGAATGTCAGTGAGTGATGCTTATCTGTTATTGGCTAAATGTTCAAATACGATATAAGAAAGAGTTCAAAGAATTCAAAACAGTTCAGTTTTATTCCAAGACAAAGACTTCTTTGTACAAATTTTTGCCTTGTATTAAATTTCTGCATCAAAATATAAATAAGTGATGGGTGGCTCAAGACTTTTGCACAGTACTGTAAAAGAAGAGTGACAGTTTGACATACATTGTATTGACAGCCAAAGACTGCTGCATGGTTTATGGTTGTTTTTATCATGTTGTCTTTTTGTTGGATATCAGTTGTATTTTCTAAATCTTCAGTCGCGTACTTGAAGTAATGGAGATTTCTTTTGCTGTAGATGAAGCCAATTTTCCCTCACTCTAGTTAAGTGTCACTCAAGAAGCTTTAACATAACAACCGTGAATGCAAAAAGCAATTTGACTATGTGGATGAAGGCTTGATTTATGAAAACAAAGCATAATCTCACTCCAACTATAAACTCCAGGCATAATAGGACTGCCAGCTGCAGTGGTCAAGTCAATATACAAGTATATACCAAAGGAGCCTTTGATAATTATAGAAACATCTTCCCACACGCTAGATTAATGATAGTTATGGTTTCCTTCACGTCATATAATAATAAATTTTACCAGTTCTCTGTACAGCCTAATGCCGGCACGCAGAGCAGAGGGGAATTTATTTCAAATTGATCCACAAGATTCAAGGTGAAACAATGTGGGAAAATTAATTTATAGCACAAGATCCTTGGCGTGTTGCTAAAGGAAAGGTTGTAGCATGCTAGAAGGCAAATCAACAACATCAAGGGCAGGTTGGTATAAGCAGAAAGAGGACTGGGAGGTATTACCTGATGAAATATGTATGGGGTGACGTGATATTGTGACTAGCTTCATCGGTTGTTAATTGGTTATGCCTCATAGGGTTCCCAGTTACAGACAGGGCTTCTCTTGTGCTGTTTATCTACTTCCTTATTCCCAGTCCTTTCTCTTTCATCTCCTTTTTTTAACACTAAATCTTCCTATTCCATGTCCTCTATTTTGCCCTCCTCCTCTCTTCTTTTTCTTACCCTGTCCCTAACCCTCTGCCTCTGTCCTTCTCCCTTACTCACTGCAGTATGGCATCCATAATGAAAGCCTGTGTTACATAAGAAGCAACAGAGCCATATGGGCTCAGTCAGGAGGTGAGGAGATGCTGTTGAGCAGTGTCATTCTGAATAGACGCCACAGTCACCTGAAAGACAGGGTGGCACATCAAGAGATGTACGTGTGCATATTGTAAGTGCCATTAAGACTATAGAAAGAAAATGATGGATAACATGAAGGAGAGCAGCTGGAAGGGAGGAAAAAGGCTGCAGTCCAGGAGACTACTGAGAGAGCACACATATGTATACCAATGGACCTCATACCTTCATTCAGGCATGTGACTCATTGCATGCAAATGCCAAGGACTCTGTGTCCTCAAAGGGTCTTGGCAGTGCACGCGCTGGATTGGATGATTTCCTCAATGGAGACGTCACACACACATACTCCAGCTTACAGCCATAGAATATTTACGTTGCTGCCTGCATGTGGGAAAATGATCTCAGGAGGATTTGACTAATGTATTATTTACACAGTCATTCATAGTTTATTGTGATTTCACACTAGTTGTGTTTCTCTGAGGCATTTATCTGATAGACTTGAAACTTGGAATAAATGTTTTGACCACTGGTTATGAACACAGTAATGACGCGCCAATATTGTCACCACAAATAAAGTCACATTATCATTCATTTGGAGTCATGTAAGTGCTCTTGGTCATTTGTTTGTGTTCCCTGCGGAAGCTCACTGTATTTTTTTTTCTGAGAAGGTCGCTTTTTACCTGGGAAAATAGCTGCCTACCTGACAGAAAAGTTCACTGCAAGAGCAGTGGGACTGAATTAAAACAATGAAGCTGAAAGCCTGAAAGCAAATAGCAGAAAAAGCAGTCAGTTATGAACTAGCCAATGAACGAAGTGGAGCATTTATTAGCTGACTAGTCGCGAGTGGTGGCAAAATAATCTGTCTCCTAATCAGAAACTAAAAAGTTTAAAGTGTTTGTTGGGTTCATCTTCTCCCACGACTATAAAATCAGATAATAGAGCTTTTAAAATATATAGCATGAGCTCCACTTCTATCTATTATAAATTAGTTTTGGTTTCACTTTATGCTAAACCCAGTGGTAATAAAGATAAATGTGTTTTCTTATACTTTCTGTCCACATTTTAATGCAGAAATCAAAATGGAAATTACCTCAATGTGATGGTGCGTTTTATTTTTGGGTTGCTAAGAGTAAATCAGATTGGGAGGAAACCGGCTGCAGCAGTCCAGACTTTTTGTGCCCCTTGAAGGCATTTTTTAGGAATGTGTAAAAAGTCCAACTCCATTATAGCATCAGCCTCTCTGATCTAGTGATCTCGGTTAGACCTCCAGCTAAATATTGCACATCCACTCTCTCATCTTGCTCCCTTTCACCTGCAGGTAAATGTTTAGCGTGCAAGTCTGGGCTGGGAGATTACTCTAAGCTAGATCCTTGTGCATTTATTTTGACTTTTCAGTTGACTTCTGTCGTGCTTGTCACTCTGTCAAAGGCAGAGCAAATGTAATCTGGTTGAGGGCATGACCGTGTTGCCAACTGTTGAGGCTACTGCCGCCAGACTGGCTCCAAGATTATGTCCGAAAGCATTTTATGTAATTCTTAAAGGGATATGTGTCTTAAGTGGATATTCTGGGCTTGCAAAAACAAACCCAGAAACTAGTTTAGTGTTTGTATGTGAGCATATGATGTGATCCTTAATCTTTTGTAGCAGGGTAACGTGTCACTATGGGCAGGGGAGGTTTTATTGAACGGTGCAGCTACATCAGTGCTGTTTCATGCAGTTTGTGGACAGTCAGCAGTGTTAGATTGTTATTTCCCTGCCTGGAAACATTTTATTAGCTTTATGCATTATCTCAATGACTTTTTGTCTTGAAGTAAAAGCTTTACAGTGATCGTATAAGGAGGTCAGTATTGATTCTGTCTTTGTAAAGAATGCTGGATTGATTTATGATTTACCATTTACGCAAGTGCTGATTTTGCTTGAGCGTACTTGTACTACTGGTGCTGCAGTTGGTAACATGTTGCATCATTTGAACTTGTAACATGTGAGTGCTGTAGCATGTAGCAGAGAGACAGAAAAGCAGGCAGCTCATTTGTGGAGAGAAGACTAGACGAAGTCTGGATGAGTCAGAGGCTGCTGATATCTCTCACCCGGGGTTATTTTTACACCTCACACAAAGACGAGGATCACAGCTTGGCAGTAGTGTTCGAAAAAGATTAAAATAAAAACTTTTAGCAACTGTCTCCCCACTCGTGTTAGAATCTGTGCTTGATTTCCTCCAGTTTGAAAGCAAATTATCGCTTGTGAAATCTGACATTTTCTTTTTTTCCCTCCTTTGTCCCTTCTGCTAGACCAAACCAGTTGCATTTGCCGTCCGCACAAATGTCAGCTACAGCCCGAGTCACGACGATGATGTCCCTGTGCCAGGCATGGCCGTCTCCTTTGAGGCTAAAGACTTCCTCCATGTCAAAGAGGTGAGCTAGAAGTGTTGTTCAGTACGCTAGTTTGTCGATGCCATATGGAAAGAAAGATGACGGCAGCAATAAAAAGGAGGATGTTTGAGATGACTTTCTTGAATTTTGTGTATGTGTAGAAGTACAACAATGACTGGTGGATAGGACGCCTGGTGAAAGAAGGCTGTGAAATCGGTTTCATCCCCAGTCCAGTGAAGCTTGAAAACACTCGTATCCTCCAGGAGCAGAGAGCCAAGCAGGGCAAGTTCCACTCCAGGTAAACAGACTCGTGCACACCAAAGTCCTTTGCTTTAGCTTTGAGATAATTTATTATGAATGTGCACATCATTAGATATTCAATTTTGTTGGCCTAATGTTAAAAATTTTATTTATCATTTCAGTAAATTGGGAGCAAACTCATCATCTAGTTTAGGTGAAGTTGTTCCTAACTCACGGAAATCTACTCCTCCTTCATCTGGTAAGCAGCTTCAGGGGTGAAAGTCCAATTTTGTATTTAATAGATTTGTTAGTATTTTGAATCAACATTTAGTCACTGAAATCCAGCTGTAGGTAAGATGTACGTGTTCCTAACCTCAGTAAAACAAACATTATTTTTGCCATAACTGTACTTTTACATGTTTCATGTACTTTTTGTGTAGTACCTACATTCTGTGCTACTTTCAATGTAAATCCTACCCGCTACCTGTGACCTCCTGTCTTCACCTCCATGTGACGATGCTCTTGTCTGTCTGTGTGGGTAGCCATTGACATAGACGCCACAGGCTTAGACCCCGAGGACAATGAGCTTCCAGTCAACCTGCGCTCCCCTAAAGCCAGTCCAAACACTGTCATGTCACCCCTAGCAAAAGAGAAACGAATGCCCTTCTTTAAGAAGGTAAACTCTACCTGAGCTACCCGACCCTCCCTTCTTCTCTATCCGTCCGCACGGCTCTGACTAAAATGCCTATGGCTGCTCAGCTACACGCAGCGCCCCTCCTGTTTGTCTACACCATCGTCCTTGTCCCTCGGCGTTCACACCACACTTAGCATGCATGCCTTTTCCTAACCTCTCTCTTTTTCCTCTTTCGTCTTGCCACAGCTAAACAGAAGCAGAAGTCGGTAAGTCTTTGTGTGCACCGCACCAGCACAGCAGGGTGTGGGGATAACCTTCATGGTCTGAGCTGTGAAAAACTCTCAATGCATTTCCTAAGCATAGACTCACCAATGTACTCACACTACTCACCGCTCCTGCCAGCCTGTGTGTTGTAATTGTTTTGTGTGTAAATTTGGGATCTCAGTGTGAACAGCTTGTTTCTTGGTGAGAGCTACAATTGATGAGAAAAGTAATGCCATGGTCCTATCTTTTATCAATATGAAGCTAGAGTATAAAGGCAAAGAGAATAAAAACAGAAAACATGAAAAGCCAAGAAATGATGATTGACAAATTAAAGGAAAGCTTGAATCCTAACCTCTAGAGTCAGGAGATATGGATGTTCTGTCAACATCATAAAAGTCTTCGTCTTCAGGACATGAGGGGTCACTGAATCATTTTATAAGCAAAAAGTGGTCCAAATCATATACTGCAGCACCATTTGACCTTAGAACTGAAGAAGCTTCTCGGATGAGAGGTGAAACGTCTTCAAGTAACTTAAAGAAGTCCAGACGCTTTTCTTTGCAAGCTCCTTTGAAAATGTGCTGAAGCCTCCTCAGGGTGGCTCTGCTGACACATTTGATAAATGACAAAGATTAAAACTAAAGAAACTCCTGTTACATTTCATTTATGTAAGTAAAACATATAATATAGTTTGATCTTGCTTTTATTTTTAATTCATTGAAGTGTTATTTCAACTTAGTTTTGGTTTAGCTTTAGTTCACTATAACATAATCAGGTCCAATCCTCCAGCAGACTAACGGAAACATGGAGACTGCCAAAGCACACTGAAACCTGTTTTTTTATTTGTAACATATCTGTAGGTCAACATAAAAACCTCATAAAGCAGCAGCTTGTTGTTTCATGCACTTTATATGGATTAAGCAAAGAATAATGAATTTATAAGCATTTGTGGTGCTGATGGGCAGCTTTAGAAGAGTTGTATCATTCTTCCCATGAAACTCTCAGCAAGAACTCAGTGGGGCATGTCTTTGCCCATTCTTATGCTTCACTACTCATATTTTTCATTAGTGACAGCTGAAATAAATAAATGCTGTTTGCTGTGGGACTTAAGGATATAGTAGAGCTTGTTTCCCATGATTACAGTGACCATGTAATCTAGAAGTTAAATATGCTACTGAAAGGATTTAAGCTGAGCTACATTGTTCATTGATGGCATGTTAGTCAGCAGTAGTGCGCATCAGTTCCCACAGCATCTCTGGGGAAGCTCACTGACGACAGCGAATGCTAGATAGAAAATGTTTAGAGCTGAAGGGATGAGTAAGACGGAGCAACAGACTGCAACAAGAAAGTCTAAATAAATCGTCTGAAACACTTATCGTAAAGATAACACAGATCGAAAGAACCGCCCGGACATGAGCACAAATAAGGGATGACTAAGAAAATAATGTCAGCAGTCCTTTTAAGTAGCCAGAGAAAGCAGAAGTAAACCTTCTCTCTGTTTCTCGGCTCAAACACGCTGTTCTTCCAGACAGCGGGACACAGAGGTATGAGGGTCATTGGCTCGCTGTCACAGACCATAATGCATTTCCTCTCTGAAACCACATGCTAATATTTGCAAGGATTAAGAAGACAGTCTTAAAAACATTATACACAAATTTACACTAAAACAGCGAGTTCACTAAAAACACAAATGCAAGAATGTATCAGAAGTTTCAGTAGTTTATAAATGTATTAGAAAAATAATCCGAATAGGGTTGCAAATAAAAAAATTTCATCTCTATGAATCAACAATTTTTTTCTTTATTAATATATGCATGTTCACCGTAAATTGTAAAAATACAAAAGTAGTTGTGTGATTATATCAGTCTATGATCTCTCATAAACATACCACATGACATTCTGCACTGGAGAGCCTCACAGTCAAACACCCAGTGTTCAGCCTTAAATGAACTGTATTGGTAATAATCAAAATCATTTTTATGTTTCTGTAATGATTAATTAACAGAATGCACCAGTTCAATCAAAACCGTATTTTCAATGCATGTTATTCATGAATGTTCAAACTTACTGTTTTACAAAAAAGCCCCCATTGTAAAACACAATATGAGTGTTGTTGTTAGTGTTATTATGTAGCTATTTATTTGCATTCCCAAAAAGAAAATGTAGTTTTAGTGGTTAAATGTTATGCTTGATTGATTCTTATTTTCTTCGAGGATTACAGTGTGCTGGATCAAATTTGGGTATAAAAACATGAATTCAGTTAATTTGCGTCATCAATAACAATATAATTTTTTACATTTCTAAAATATTATATATAGACTGACCTCATAATAAGGTCAGTCTAAGTGTTGATTAAAAACAGGCTGTTCCACAAACTGAGGTCCGTTTTTGTCCGTACAGCAGTGAGCGAGTTTTTCTAACTGTGTCCTAATTTTGTGTTTTCAGTCAAAGCTTCTGTTGATCTGCTCGGGCTTCTTTCTCACTCCCTGACTAACCTTTCCTATCATTTAGCTTCCCTTTTATTCAGCGGAATCAGAACCATGACACGAGAGACTCGATCTGACATACATAAATATTTTTCGTTTACGGTAACCTCCTTTGAAGTGTCATCATTAAAGTTTCTGCAGCAAACTGCCAAATCGGTTATAAATCAAAGCTTGTTTGTTTTTTTCCGAACCAGCTCGGACGTCCCGTTTCATGGTTCATAATGTTTCAGTGCTTTTAAAATGTCTACTTCGTTGTTTTTCCACCCCCTTAAGTGATTTGTGATGGTGAGCGTTTACTTTGTCTCCATAAATGTGTAACTGTTTTTCTTCTTCTCTCCTTCTGAAGACGGAGCACATTCCTCCGTACGACGTTGTGCCTTCCATGCGGCCCGTGGTTCTGGTTGGACCGTCACTGAAGGGCTACGAGGTGCATCAAAGCTTCAACTTTCCAAACACAACACTGAATTTTCTTTAGTATTTTCTTTAGTAGTTTAGAAAACCTGACTCATTGACTCTTGTTCTCTCCCCTGAATCTCGTTTGCAGGTGACAGACATGATGCAAAAAGCGCTGTTTGACTTTTTGAAACACAGATTTGAGGGAAGGTAAGCTTCCTGTGACCTTTTTAAAAACACAAGCTCCCATCCCGCTTCCTTCCTCACTCTTCTAAGTCTATAGGCTGGTATTTATCTCTCCCTCGAGGTTAGCTGAGGGAGTGTGTAACAAGTTTGTTTGGCCTGGAGATGTGTGCCGCTGCTTTAAATAGGCCCTCTCCATGTCCTTAATAGGCCATAATGGGCCCTAGAGCAGAGCAGGATTCTCCTTACTCAATGCTGAGTCCATCCTCCCACCCGGAGCAGAGAGGTTTTTTAGTTTAGAAGTTGCACAACACAAAGATCCACTCAGATCATCAGCAGCTGCGGAGAATACCGTTTGATCTGCTGATTTGTTTTAAACAAATTTACACCTGTAAGTAATTCCCTGCTGCTGCTCTCTGACATTTCTCTTTGATTTGGTGTTAGTTTTTCTTAGTTGGTTTGGCACAGTTTTCACCTGGCAATCGAGATTCCTACGCCGTGTGCGAGTCTCAAATGCACAGCGCATTTTTATATGCGCTCTCCTGTTGCTTTGGTACAGAATCCTCAGTTATGGGCTGCAAAAGACATGTTTTTTCATAAGCATACACATGTTATAAATCCTCAAAATGTATAAAATAAATGTTTAAATTATTAAACTTTAATTTATCTTGTGTAAAGTTCGTGTTACTAAAGTTAGTAACATGCCCAAACTCAAATATAAACACATACTGTTCATAGCGCCGTTTCCGGAGTTTTACATGTTTGATTTCTATTCAGTGCAGTTTCGTTTAGTTCCCACAGTGGATGTGCTCATTTCTCTTCAGTTTTTGTGTTTTTCGCTAGCTTTAGTGTTCGTTTTTGTTATTGACATGGGTGGTTTTGCCGGAGTTTCAGAGCAAGACGTGACACAGTACAGCAAAGCAAACAACTACAGACAACCACAGTCACACAGACATCTCAGTCCCAGTAAACATATGCACCAAAGCCTCATCAGCCTGACAGCGTTGACACGTTTGACCGAGCCGACAAAGACTTAAACTGAAAACATTTCTCGTATTTTTTTTATTTAGTTTTGTAGGGACAAATATTATTTTAGTTAGTTTTATTTCAGTTAATGTTTTTCCAGCAAATACAGATCAGACATTAACAACATCCACATGGTTTTTATGTGGGATACTTTTCCTTTATTTATATAACACAGCAGATAGACAGAGGAAAGAGAGGGGAGGAATGACATGCAGCAGAGCTCCCCGGGTGTTCAACCACTGACTGAGCTGTTAAGGCTCTTTAGCTCATGTTCGTTGTATCTACAAAATCTGGAAAAGTTAGTGAAACCATGCACAGCACTCCCCAAAACACCTCCAAATGTCTGCAGGGAAGGGTGAGCAGTTGTGATATAGTATCAGTATTGACAAACTGTTTGCATTTGATGAACACGATCAATGAAAAACAATACAATACGACTTCATTGTCCGCTTAGGGAAATTCATCAGGGACTGAAGTGCTGTCACAGAAGCTGCCTTTGCAACAAGTCAATAAGCATTAAAAGAAAAGAGAAATAAATAAATAGATGAAGAACATTAGTCTAAAGTATATTTTCTTGGCATTTGTGCTCGTGTTAAGATGTAATCATTAATGGTGTCCCAGTTGGTTGAGCTGTAATGGTAACAAGCCACATTCTTCTTTTAGTAGAACAGGGGTGGTGGATTTTTTTGTTTGACTAACTAGGTCATGGTTTCTCAAAGGAATTGCTGCTGAGTTCTTCAGATGTATTTTTGGAAGCGTTGAGCATCGCAAAGCAAGTGCTGTTCAGCTGCAGTATATTTAATAGAGAAGCAAACATTTCTACAACCAGTATCTCTAATTCTGGGAAACCAAACATCAACAAAAACAAGCAGCACTGCACAGCAGAGGTTAAACATGTAGATTTTAATTCAGAGTGAACTGTCCCTTTACCCTGGAGTTCCTGTGTGTAGGACACCACCTTTATGACACGAGAGCCTTTACTTAAAGCAACAATGAAGGGAAGTCTCATTTTAGTCACACATACGCCGATCTGGTATCACATTTTGAACACTGACGGGTGAGGTGAATAACACTGATTATTATCATCATGGCACCTGTTAGTGGGTTGGTGGGATACATTAGGGGAACATTAGGAGAGCAACAAAGTCAGAGCAACTCCAAAACTGCAGCTCTTGTGGGCTGTTCCCGGTCTGCAGTGGTCACTATCTAGTGATCCGCTTTCCGATCCAACAGACAAGCTATGGTAGCTCAAACTATTAGCCAGGTGGCCATAATGTCATGCCTGATCGCTGTAGCCTAAATGTTTATAGTGAGCATGATGCAGGGCTTTCAATGACGTGATGATTGCTCTTAATGCTTTGAGAACTGCAGCAGTGTTTCAGGAAATGTGCTCAAGCAGTGGATAAAAACTGCTGCCCTCAGCAACATCTCGTTTTAAGCCCAGATCTACTGATTACTTCTCCCATTTCTCGTGACAGAATATCAATCACTCGAGTCACGGCGGACATCTCTCTTGCCAAACGCTCAGTCCTGAACAATCCCAGCAAGCACGCCATCATCGAACGCTCCAACACACGCTCAAATTTGGGTAAGTTTCTTAGAAAATCTACGCCTGGGAACATCTGGTGTTTTGATTCATAATGTTTTCAAGGAGACCAGCTTACGTAGCAAAAAGGAAGGAAACGATTAAAGAAACTCTTGACAATGGTAACGATAACTCTAGACGGCCCTGAATGGCCTTGGCTGGCCTCTTTTGTTTGGGATGAAAGATGGAGCGCAAACATGCAGTAATAAGTTCAAGAGCTGCTCTGATTTGACTGAGGTTGATTGGGGTTTAGATGTGATTAGAATGAAACAGATTCCGGAGTCAAACAGAGGTGACAAGGCTAATCTCTGCTATGTATCACCAGAAGCATCAGTCAGCAGCCACAGCAGAGGAAGAAGGCAGGAAAAAGCATAAAATAGAAGCACATCGTGTGTTAAAAGTACAGTTTTTTAATGATTACAGAGAGCCGCCACACTATAACTTTGACTTTGTGCTTCTTCAGAAAACGAACTCTTTGTCAAACCTACTTTTTCATTTAATATACTAAACATAAAGCTTTTAAAGTTAAGGACCACTCAGGGTGTGTTTTGTCATTCTTTTGTTCTTATTTTGTCTCTCAAAGCTTTTGTTTTCCTGCCAAAAGAGCAAAGAGTTATGCATTTGCTTTCTATGTAATTTAAGGCTTTTTAAGAGAATTTTATCATCAAAAGTGACATTGGCTTGAAGCTGTGCTCCTTTAAGATGGATGAAATGATTTCAGGAAAAGTTGGAAACACGTGAAACTGGTGACCCTCTGTGGCATTTTTAAGTTGGAAAATGAGATTTTGAATGAGCTGTTAGGCTGGAATGTTTTCATGTTATCTTCAGACTGTCGGGACTGGAAGTCATGAAGCTTGGCCGTGATTTCTCTCCGGACTGGGCCTTCCTGAGTTATTTGTAGGATTGTTTTTGCAGTCACGTCGTCATCTGCTGGAGTGGGACTTGTGTGATGTAAGAGTCGGTATCTGTTAGAGGTAACATAATGTGGCTCCTCACTCACTCAGAGCTATTAGTCTCCAAGCCGTGTCCCTGAAGTCATGATGTCTTTTGAATATTTAAGTCTCTGTGAGGCAGAAAGAGCTATGCCCTAAATCACTGATGCAGGCTCAGATTTTTAAAAGGCGAACTATATGACTGATGGACTCTGAGCAGTCATAAAAATTCATCTTTAATAATAACTAATAATCATTTTTTAGCCACGCTTTCAGTGTGGCTCTAGGGATCCACATTAAAATGGGATGTCTCAACAACTAATGGATGGATTGTTGCAAAAATTTGCACAGATATTCAAAATAAATTGAAATCACGCTTGGGATCCTTTTTAATCTAGCGCCATCGTCAGGTATAAATCTGTCAAATATATATTTGTACAGTGGTGGATGGTCACATTAAACATGCCCCTAGTTTCCAGTAATGAGGCCAGCAAAAGTAAGGCAAGTAATCCCTATGAGCCAAAAGACAATGTTTTTTACACTCATGGATCTGTATGACATCACTTGTGTTTACGAGAGGCAGCCAATTACAAGAGTCAGCTTAAAGAGAGAGGGGGTGGAGCTAAAACAACTTCTTTCAGGCAGTAGATGAACTTAAGGCATGCATCATTGTTCGGTTTAAGATAAATAAGGAGTATTTTTAACTTTAAATCGTACACAGCTACTCTAGGACAGTCCATAATAAAATATGGAGTTAGGAGTATCTTTAATATTGTGAATATTTTGCAATAAATTAAGCATAAATATTAATGGGACCTATTATGTTCATTTTCTGTCATCCTAGCAGAGAGCTGATCTGCGATAACGAACTCAGCTGTTAAAAGACGAGATCATTTTTGTTTTTATTCTTTTTGTTTTATCAGTAATCATGAAATATATTTGCACAGGCACATCAAAACAACTTGTGAGGTGTTTTTAGATGACACTACAAGATTTGTGATGTCTTTGAAAGTCAGCAACAGAGGATATATTGGTGTTAATCGGGGTTTCGGAAGTGAACTTAATCATTAAGGGGATCTGGTAAGAATGCATGAAAGAAATCAGCTATTAAGTTATGATCGGGTGCATGAAAGTTTATTTATCCAACTTTAAATTAATTGCAGTTGTGAGTATGAATGGGGAAACGACACCAGTGGACTGCTCAGTGTGGAAAATAAACAAAGACAAGATTAGACTTAAGCCTCTTGGTCATAAACTTCCATAAACATAAATATAGTTATTGGTTATGCTAACAAAGAAATGGCTAAGTTGAACTTGAGTAGCAGGATTGTCGCCCAATGAGAAGGTGAAAAAGAGAGTGCAGATTTTGAGTAAGGAGTGAAAATAGGGGGATTTCAATCAAGTGGCAAAGAAAGAAAAGAGGAAGTGTGCCACTGATAAACAAAGTGCAAAACAAACCAGTGTTACACAAGCTACTATCATGATAAATCCCCCTGACGACTGATAAGAAATAATTTCCTGCTCTGAAAAGAATAAACCCAGACCTCTGTGTCTCCCTTCAGCTGAAGTCCAGAGTGAGATTGAGCGAATTTTCGAATTGGCGCGGACGTTACAGCTGGTGGTTCTGGACGCCGATACCATCAACCACCCGTCACAGCTGGGAAAGACTTCCCTCGCCCCCATCATTGTCTACGTCAAGATCACCTCACCCAAGGTAAGAGAAATGATGTCTGTAGGAACAGAGAGGAACAGATGCACTTGCCAGTGTACATGTGCTATGATGGAAAATAAGGACAGTGAGAAAACGGCTCAGCAGATGTTCCCTGTACTCTCATAAACGTGTTAGTCAGCTCCGCTGGTTTATGTGTGTCTGTCTTCACGTCGTCCTGTCTTGTCACCGCTTGTATTGTCTCTCTGCAACTGCTCTCTGGCTTTAAATCCAGCATGTCAGACGTGACTGCTACTTTGAGAGTGAGAAAATGCGTGAGAGGACTGATTCATCACTTCGACCTTCAACAAGTGTACAAAAGGCTCATGAGTCAGTGATCAATAAAAAGCACATCTCAGAAAATGAGAGAAAGCAATAGCTGATGAACAGACACAAGATGCCAGCTTTAAATCACAGTGGCAGCAGATTAAATCACACTCGAAGTGGGGAAAATAAATTGCTCTTTATCACCTGGCCTCTTAATTACACCCAACTGCTGCTTCTTATACACTAAGTGTAACTTTTAATATGTTGTATTTGTATAAATCGCAGTTAAATGAGTAGAATTACTCAACTTCATTAGCAACTGCACAAATGAATGTAAAGACATAGTACGAGCTAAATATTCTGTATCAAAAGTAAAAATAGCCAAAATTGCTGCATTAAATTATTTCAGGCAACACGGCTGTTTGATTTTCATGCTTCCCAAAATGGTCTTGGATGTGGCAGCATTTATTTTGGGAAGGTTATATTTATTTATGACATACAGAAAGTCTATTTAATGACAGAAGTTTGACATTAGCCATCAAATATCACCACGTGGCACGAACCTGGTAGTTTGTGGAAAATATTGAATGTTTATTCTACAGTAGTAGCACATTGCAGCCTGCCGCACACATAAAACAAAAGTATATTTCAATACAAAAAGTAGTTTTCATATCATATTTATATATACTCTATATGCACAGTTGTACAGAGATGCAGGGGGTCCCACTGTTGCCTCTCAGCAAGAAGGTCATGTGTCCGAAGGTGGCCCGTGGAGCGGAGCTTCTTCCCACAGTCCAGATACATGCATGTTATGTTAACTAGTGATTTTAAATTGACCATAGGCATGGTTGTGACTGGTGACCTGTCTCTGGTATGCCCCGCCTTTCACCCTGTGACAGCTGGGATACCTCCATGATAAATGGATAGTTGGATGGATATCCAGTATAACCACAAATAAATACAGTGTGCTGGTGTTAAAATGAGCAGGGTTATTGTTTATTCTCTTTTTCACAAACTAGTTAGCAACTTACTGATAGGAGGGAAAAGAGTTATGCTTTTTCTGCATTGTTTTCTGTAAACAAACAAAAATCCCACATGCTGACTGGACAACATACCCGATGATACTCTATATTTCAAGAACAGATTATAATCACCAAGAGAAATATATTGGTCAGGCTCTAGATATCATATATAAGTGCCAATGGCAGATTTAATTGACCAGTTGAGCCTTAGGATTTGAGGTTTTCAACCCACATTTATGGGGTCTCATCTAAAAATGGGTTTTAAAAATTCATTACTATCTATCTGTATTTGTGTAAAATGAATCCTTCTAAGATTACATTAATTGTCCACCTCCAAAAGAAGCTCCTGTTTAAAGCTGAGAAACTTGTGTGCTGCACGCACAAAGCTTTAATTTAAGTTTGTCAAAAACAGCCGTGACCTTCTTGCCTTTCGTCCTCATTTGCCTTCAGGTGTTACAGCGGCTCATCAAGTCCAGAGGCAAGTCTCAGGCCAAACACCTCAATGTCCAGATGGTGGCCGCCGACAAGCTGGCTCAGTGCCCTCCTGTAAGTCTCCACAGCGGACCGAAATTACTGCCAATTTTAATCCAGTGTGTGAAATAACTTGGAGTTTTGTTCTTTTTGGCTCTGGGTTTTAATTTGTGCATATCTGAAGTCAGGTTTTGTTTATTCCTTTATAATTTCTGCCAGTTCTATTTCCGTCCCTCTCTAATCTGCTTACTTATTATTTTAGAAAATGAGGCAAACCCTCCAGTATTGTGAAAGCGGAGGTTTAATTTCATTTAAATAGCAGTCAGTATCTTTAGGGATTTACAGTTTAAGATTTTCTGCAAAATGAATACTTAATGTTATCTAGTGTCTAATCCTGTGAGTTGTTTCTAACTTGCCCCGATGGGGTTTTTTTTTTTATCGTTTTTTGTTTCCTTAAAGATCACTTTAAGTCTTTTAATGTGAAGTTCCACATCAGCGCTGGCTGGTTTTGTTGACCCTGTCATGTCTCCGTTCCATTTCCTTCAACTCTGACTGCGCCCGTTTCGCCTTTCGCAGGAAATGTTTGACATCATTCTTGATGAGAACCAGCTGGAGGACGCATGTGAGCATATGGCCGATTACCTGGAGGCCTACTGGAAAAGCACTCACCCCACCAGCTGCAGCCCCCCTGACCCAGTGCTAGCAAAGCTACCCACAGCCAGCCTGCCCTCCAGCACGGCCCCGGTCTCTGGCGTGCAGGTACAAGTGCTGAGCATACTCTGGGCCAATGGAGGCCATGGAAAAGGAGGGGATCCAGAAGTGTGGGAGGCAGGATTAGAAAGGAAGAGATGAAAGAAATCAGAGCGTTGAAGAATTACAAAATGTTGTAGTTTGCATCTACAATGTCTGCTAAAAGTCTTTACTTTTCTCATATTATGTTATTCTTAAACATATGCACTACAGGTAATGTGTAAATTAAGAATAATCTACTTTATCTAGGATAGGTACAAGGGTATGAAATACTAAGGAAGAAACTGAATTTAAAATGCTCTACAAGAACCTTCTAATGCATAAAGAGGAACTAGATCAGAGAAAACATCAAATATAAAAGGACGAACAGGAGCTGACAGCAAGAAAAGAGTTAGCAGAGACAAAACACGCTTCAAGAGATGGGAACAAAATTCATATTAACAGGTCAAAACAATGCTGTTATCACGTTCATTTGATTAATCGTGGCTGATGCTGATGATACAGGAGACCCCTGAAGTTTAACTACCACAAAACATGTAAAACTCAATAGAATAAAAACAGTTTAGAGACAGTTTGGACGTAGACAGAGAGACTTTAGTATTTAACATGAAATCATTTATTTTACTTTTAATAGTTCCTTTTCTAATGTAGTTCCTTTTCAGCTCAGCTCTAAACCATTGTTTTTGTTTAATATATTTTATAACAACCCTCACCGTTATGGGCAGTTTCAGTCATCTGTAAATGCTGCATAATCCCCTTATCTGCCCTTTCTCTATCCACTGCCATCACAATGTAAGACTGAGAGCGAAGAAAACGCTGATATTGATGAGGAGCAGGAGTGAGCTTGTATTTGCTAGTGTGGTAAGTGCAGCGAGGTCAAGTGATGAAAGCTGAAGCCGAGGAGCACGCCTTGCTTTTTTTGAGTTCTTACTCCTGGGTCAGAGTCGGCCGTGAATGGATTTGACGAGAAAGCGTGTGTGTTCAAGTGTGACATCTTCTTCTTTGTAGTTCTGTGTGAATTTTGGTGAAACAACTGGGGTGATGTGATTTTTAGTTTGCGTGTGCTTGCTGTGATGTTTTCTGGTTTTGTATGTGTCATCGTACTGACTGATGTGTGTCGCTAATCTCAGGGAAACAGTACAGAGCAGAAGGGAGATAAAGTGGAGGGGAAAGGCTCCAGAGAGGATTACCAGCACCACCATCACCGTCACCACCATCATCACCACCACCAGAGCCTGGACCAGGGCGATGCTGACGCAGAGGGGGAGGAGGAGGGCAACGAGGAGGAGAGGCCTCTTAGGACAGAGTCATCCAGGAGATCCCAGCACGTCCACCACCGGTCATCTTCTACCAGGACTGAACATCACAACCACCATCACCACCACCACCATCACAGCAGTAAAGCCAAGGGCCTCTCCCGGCAAGAGACTTTGGACTCTGAGACCCCCGAGAGCAGGGAGAGCCGAGAAAGTCGAGAGAGCAAGGACTCGGCTTGTACTGAGCCGCGCACTCAGCGTCTTCAGCAGGAAGAGGAGGACGATGAGGATCAAGGGGAGGGGCATCCCCAGCAGCAACAGCATTACGAGCCACTGCCCCACCGGGACCACAACCACCATCACCACCACCACCATCACCGCAGCGGGGCAGACGAGGCCGGTCACAGCACGGGACACCAGCGCTCCAAAGAGCGCGAACAGGACCACAATGAGCGGAACAAGCAGCGCTCTCACCACCACCACCGGCCAGCACGCGACCACCACCATCACTACTACGACCGGGACAGAGAGAGGGACAGAGAAGGGGAGGTAGCTCCAAAAAAGAGGGGTGAGGCAGGGGAATGGGCCAGAGACACATACATCCACCAGTGACAGACCAGAACCCCTCCCAAGGCCCTCCTGGACTCTGTTCTGTCCTCCCATCGTGCTGCTATACCCTGAAAAACCACAGCATCCTATTTATGTACACTTCTTTGTAAATGCTGTTGCATCTTTTTCAATGGCAGGATTTTGATTACATAGATACAAATATAAATATATGAATATATGTATGTGTGTATCTATGCATAGACGTTGTTTATGTGTGGATATGCATGAATATTCTCAAATATGCATATTTTAAACCTGTGTTTGATAAAGCATGACACAAAAGCAGAATTTTTTCTGTACTGAGCTGTGCTTTCTGTGATTAGCATTATAATTTTTATTGTTTCTAATATTATTATTATTATTATTAAGTTGTATTGCTTGCTACCACTTGAATAATTTGTTCCTTCAGACTACTGCGAGGGTTGACCAGCCATCATACTTTGATGTTGTAGTTGCAGAATAGTTTGACACTTTGGGAAATAACACTTGCCTACATAGTTGCCAGTTTATTATGTACACCTAATGAGCGTAGGGCAGCACGGTGGCACAGTGGTTAGAACTGTTGCCGCACAGCAAGAAGGTCCTGAGCTCAGGCCAGGGTCTTTCTGTGTGGAGTTTGCATGTTCTCCCCGTGTTTGCGTGGATTTCCTCCAGGTACTCCAGCTTCCTCCCACAGTCCAAAGACATGCAGTTTGTGGGGATAGGTTAACTGATTAATCCAAATTACCCATAAGTGTGAATGTGCGCGCGAATGGTTGTCTGTCTCTCTGTGTTAGCCATAACACTTCCCATAATTACATTGAAAACTATAGAAACTACTCATTCTCTAAGTAGTCTGCTTGTACACCTCTGGACTGCTTTCAGAGATGCTCCTGTTTTTAGGTCACTTGAGACCTTGCACATTTGTGCTGATTTAACCACATACCTCAAAAGAGCTTCTGTTTTAAACAGATCAGCTTTAAGGTTTATCATGATTGTAACTCATCGTGATAATTAGCTTTCAGGCTACAACCAAGCAACCAAACAGAGTCCAACCCCAGTGACAGTGCTTTAGGTCAGGACCATGCTCGTTTTTGTCTTCATATTTTCAAGATTCACATAGTTGTCAGTTTATCCACCAGGACCAGACTGTTTTACGAATGTTCTGAGGCACGCATTTGTGGGGAGAGGACCTGAATGGTGGCCTGTACCATCTATAAATGTCCTACTACAAATAGTCTGAAAACACTTAAAATAGCAGCAGTTCTTGAAGTGATCAAGGGGTCCACAAGGAGACAACTGTGATTGGTAGACTGGACAAAACAGCAAACACAAATCCCTTTTGGGGTTGTGTCAAGAAGAAAATCCAGTGTAAAAACTCCACCAAACCTACCCACTGTGAGTAAGGGATCAGCCAAGCGTAGCATCTCTAAGAAGCTTAACAGCTTTCAGTACTTTAGTAAGTATAAATCACAGATTTGAGAATAATCATAAAGTTGAATCAATGACTGTTTGATTTAAAAAATAACTGAATACTGTACTCTTCATAAATGCAGCACTGTTATATCAGACTGCATTGATTTTTAGCAGGTGAAAAACTTGATACCACTCTCATATCTGTAGGAATGTAGAGCCAACAGCAGGTTAGCTTAGCACAAATAAACAGGAGGAAAGAGCTCATGTGAACAGTTTCTCTGAAGGTAAAAACCACCTACCAGCACCTCTAAAAGCTCAACAATTACCATTTTGTGTTGGTGAAATCTGTACAAACCTACAAATAACAGGTTGTGGCATTACTGGGGGAGGGGGATTCGTATATGAGAGTGGTATCGCTCTAACTCTAACAGCGTATTTCCCAAAGTGTCAAACTGCTCGTTTTATGTTCATCACTTACTGCTTAGTTTCTTTTTTTGATTCCACGGGTTTTAGATGTTACGTTTTAACATATTCATGCCTTCTTGCAGGCGCACCTTAGTCTTGCCTTACAAGACAGACAAAGAGTTCTCCAGTAACTTCCTCTCAACACATGCAGTACTGTTCTTTGTATGGGTCCAGAAACATTTTATAACATTGGAACAGGCTTTTTCACATTGGTTTCAAGTGAAAGGGATTTGATATAACATTCCCACCAAATCGTAGGTCCTGATGATTCATCTTGGATTAATCCTGACCCCTTTTCTAATGAATTCCATTTAAGTCCTACTTTGATTTCTTAGTACAAACAATGCTAATTTTAGGATATGTTGTTCAGTGTGGGTATTTCTGAAATTCCAAAGAAACAAAAATAATTCCAAGTGTTTACCAGATAAATATTGCCTTTAAGTTTTTGCCCTCTTTTCACTCTTCTGATTAAAATACAGGATCTGGTTAATGGATTTGGGGATATTTTACCTGCTCTATATGCCTGAGTCAACAACATCATCAAAACCTGAATAGACTTTAGTTGATCTTTGAGTCCGTGCACTCTGGCCCTCTGTTTACACACCATCTCCTCACCTTTTTTTTAAAATGTTTTTTTTTGCCTGATAATTGTAATTATAAAAACTCGTCCATTTCTATGCTACATTGGTAGCACTACAGATTTTATAACAGTGTACATGTGTACATATTGCATAAATACGAAGAATAAAGTTGGAAACAAACGACTGACGCAGTGGGAGACCGTTTTGATGTTTGTGTCAGCAGAAGACCCAGACAGAGGAGGGAAACGGTGCGTCTATAAATAGTCATCTGAAACTCCACTGAAAAATTGAGGTAGACTCACCGGCCTGCCTCCCGAGTCGTCATGACAACCCCGACATGAATGACAATGCTGAGGGGATGATTCTAATATAGGAAGCTGCCTCCACACACACTCACAGCTGCCTTCATAACAGACAAACTCGGAGATGAGGCATATTTGATCTTGAATTTTAATGTGAAATCGGGGAAAAACAAATCTTCAGTGGTGCAGCCAGTCCGCACTCACATGCAGCTTAGATGCAGGGAGGTGAAGTGCAGCGCAGACAGATGTGTGCGTGGACTGATAAGAGTCTGATGTTATTCCCAGGAAAGGGGATTGAGCTGAGGTCATAGTGAAGGTCCTCAAAATACTGCGTGTCAGAAGAACGGGACAGATGTCGGTGCACTGCTGGCACGGATCTATAAATTGCACACAGGCTGCGGATTTATTGGACATCCATTTTAAATTTGCACTGAATAAATTAGTTCCTATATTTGGCAACCATAAGCACGTATGAACATGTAGCAATATGTAACACACTATAATGTGTGTGAGCAGATATGAAGTGGAAGTGGAGAATCAATTATTTTACCAAGCCTTTCATTATGGGAACATCAGAAAGCTTTGAAAAATTGAAGATCATAAGATCACACAGAGAAATAAGATGCCATTGAATGTCGATTTTCATCGCACCAAATATCTAGACCCCAAATATTCTAATGAATATGAAAAAGTGCCAGATGTTTCTGTAACATTTTAAGCCTTTTCTGTCTAACAAACCATTTTAATTAGTAATTTAAGCACAAAAGGCACCTAACTGAAGAGAAGAGCCAGTGTTGTACAACATACAACAGAGAAAAGAAGCAACTAAATTGCATATTTAGGCAAAAACAATCGATGGCTGTCAAGAAGCCAATGATTAGGAAAGCAAACAGGGAGAACATTTAATTTGAGGTATGCCAAGTTATGCAAGAACTTAGCTTAAAATCAGTGGTAACAGGTCTGATTGAGCAATGCATCCAAATTATTACCAATGCAATAAAAAAAATACCTGGATAAAAGACACAATGGAACACTATCAGTCATGGCCCAGACCTCAACATCAATGAAGCAGTTTGGGATGATCTTACAGAGAATGAAACACAAGCAGCAAACATCCAAAGCAGAGCTCTGAAGCCCAGAAAATTATTCCTGAAGACTACTTGAGGAAATTACAGGAAAGCTTGCCTAAGAAAACTCAGACTGTGTTGAAGAATGGTACTAACAAATATTGACTATCAAGCTCTTTAGCAGTTTTTTGTCCTGTATAGTAATATTCTATGCGCCTGTTTTTCTAGCAAAATATAAAGAAATGAGGGGTGGCGGTATTTTTTCAAATGTCAGTGCGTGACGTTTGTCTGGGATGTGTTGACTAAATGTTCAAATATAAGACGATTTGTGTTTTGCTTGCATAAAAAGGAATAAATAACAAAAGAGAAAAAGGAAAAAAAATTAGCTAAAATTCTTTTTAATCTCTGCTAAATACAATTAGTTAAAAGGAATTTAGACAACAATTGACAAATGGTTTGAGATCATATGCAAAGGTCTTCTAGGAGTAAACCCTACCATCATGAAAAAACCTCTGGACTATTTTGGCATTTTGTTTTTAAGGAATTATCTAAATTAACTCTTATTTTATTAGTAAAAAACAAATTAAAAAAAGGTCTAAATATCCTGGAAGTCATCATTTTAATAACATCTCTTTTTCATCTCACATCTTTACTCTTAACCACTTCCAAAAACAGAAACAGCCTCCCTTTAAATGTGCTCTTATTCTGAAAAACTGAGCAACATTTCCTTCTGATGAATGCAGAGACTGAGCCAAACACAAGCGTCTCCTCTTTCCTGCAGGCTCCAGAAGTCCTAATTAAATGTCCCAGTCGTCTCCAGCGCTGCAAAGACACTAAATTGTTAATTCCTCTCATGGCCTCTTTCTACACCTACTTCCTGATCCATTCTCCAGCGAATCCGTCACCATGGCAGCTGTGTCGTCACTGTTGTTATAGCAACCGCAGCGCTGCTCCTGCTGCATTTGCCGTTACTCATCCAGACTCCGTCGCCACGTGCCCCCCAACCACCACCCTCTTCCATCCAACCCTCCCCTGGTGTTTATAAAGCTTATCCCTATATGGCCCACGGTTTTAGAGAGCAGCTGTTAAGAGGCAGATGCTGTAAACAGCGCAGGGAGCTCTTTGTCAACACTGGCCCGTCAAAGCACACAGAGTGTCGTAATATAAACACTATTGTTCCCGTTTTGCTGTCTCATATGAGCCCCGTGCGAGAGCGCGAGCCCTCGGGTTAGTTTTTCAGGAACTTAGCGATAAAGAAGCCGATAGTGTCGCTGTCGGCTCTGCAGGGGAGCGGGGCTGTAATTTCCGTCTGCTCCCAGCTCAGCTCGGGACTGAACCTCTGGAGGAGGCGCAGCTGCTCAGGTGGAAGGCCGGCTCCAGGCATGCCTTCAGCACCGATGTGGGGCTCCTGAAAAACAAAAAAAAAAGGTTTCACTTTGTGATTTTTACATTTGCAGTCACGTCCATGTGGCTCAAGTGCTTTACCTGTGGCACAAGTGAGAGGCAGGGGAAGGTGTCAAGGGCCCAAGCTACCTGCTCCTCATTCTCTGCTAGAGTCACTGTGCAGGTGCTGTACACCAAAACACCACCTTTCTTCAGCAGCCGCACCGCCTGCAGAGACACAGATAGCTACGTATTCATGTACTCGCTTTATAGTCGGTGTAATCGTGGTTTTATTAACTTTTTAGTGAGTTTTAGAAGCACTGGACCAAAACTATTTGGTTTCAGTTCATTTTTTGCTGCTCTTTTTTAGCGGTAACCTCCAGGGTTTAAAATTAAGTACCAAATAAATTACAGATCCTCTTGTGGCCACTTGAGGCTAGCTCCAAAACTGTGGAAATTCCCACAGACTGTCGTGTTTAAAAGGCCCAAATTTAAAGTTATTAAAGATTCATCTTCACAGCTTTTTAACATTTGCTTCCAAAAGTATTGCCTGTTATGGTCACTGAAGGGAAAACACACCAGATCTATTATCTCTAATTCTCATCATTTATCACATTCTGGGTGTGCATTCAGTTCAAAAGACTGCCTTTCTTGGTGTAGTGGTGCATTAGTGAATTGGCAGCTTGCACATGTGGAAAGGCCACATCAGTGGTGAAAGATATATGCAGGTATTTTGCTCCAAACGGTCTTTTTCAGGGAAGGCCTTGCAAATTTCAGCAAAACATTGTTAAACTGCACACTGCATCTATTCCAACAGCACGGCTTCATAGTAGAAGATTCTCTGACTAGTGAAGTGGCCTGCACCTTTCACCAGCTATAAATACTTGGCACATGATGAAACACAAAATACGACAACGAAGATCCAGGACTGTTGAGCAGCTAGAATCCTATATCAGACGAGAATGGGGCAACATTCTTTTCCCAAAATTCCAGCAGCTGCTCTCCTCACTTCCCAGATGTTTATAGGCTGCTGCTACAAGAAGAGGGGATGCCACACAGCGGTACACACGGCCTCCTCCAACTTTTTTGAGACACGCTGCTGCCATCAAATTCAAAGTGACCTCATATTTTTCTTAAAATGCTTCATCTTCATTTTCTAAATATTTGATGTGGTTTCTGTGTTCTAATTGTAAATAAAATAGGAATAGGAAACACTGATGAAGCTCTAACGAAGCATGTCCTCTGCGCTGGTTTCCATGCAAGTGATTGTTGGGGTTTTCTCTGTGTTCTCTGTATCAGTGTTGGGTCTTTACCTTACAATATAAAGCGCATTGAGACGACTGTTATTGTGATTTGGTGCTACATAAATAAAATTGAATTCAATTGAACTTTTTTTATCGAAATCACAGAAAATGATCAGGTCTCGAAAGGTTATTCGCAGAAATTTGAAATGACAGTTTGCTTTCTCTGCGCACTTTTGAACAGACTTGTAAAACTGCACACAAGCCTGAGAAGTGAGCTTCAAACCTCACAGTGACGTTAAACAAGTAAATCTGAGCTGTGATCAAGCTGCAGTGGAATTTCTATCCAATGCTGCCACCTGCAGGTTAAAGAACGCTAGTACTGCTGTGATGTTAAGATGATAAAACGTGGTTTATGTGTGTGAAGTAAAACCTACAGCATGAAATAACTTGCGCTGCAGTGGCTGGTAGGAGCAGATCTCTTTGAGGCTCCAGGTGCTGCCCATGTTGGGTCTCTGTCCGAGGCCGCTGCAGGGAGCATCGAGCAGAACCCGGTCGAAACTCTCCGGAGGGAACGGAGGTCCTGGGAAACACAAACACTGAGCTGCTACCTATTTATTATGAACCCCGGAGATTTACATCATAGATAAACTCTGGACTGTACCTTCAGTTTCCTGTGCTGGGTCACTGCTCACAGACAGAGTGCTGTTAAAGCAGTGCGCCTTCACGCTTTGCAAATGCAACATTTGTGCATTTTGACGAATGCGGTCGATCTTATTCCGGATCCTGTCCAAGGCTACGACCTCTCCCTGTGTCGGAGAAAAAGAAAAATATTAGAAACAACTTAAAAAGGAAGGAAATTTCACAAATTACAATCCTAGACTGCTTGATTTTATCTCAGGAGACGTTTTAGTTAAATCAAGTAAATGCTAACAAGGACACAATCTGATCATTAATTTTATTACACAAAGATGAACGTGTTGTTGTCCGCCCTCTCCTCCAGGCTGGACACAGACCAGCCCCCCAGTGGGGTGGTGGTGGGCCCCTTTGGTGGGGTACGGATGCTGACCTTAAATGTACTTAAATTCCACTTGGATCATTTTCTATGTTAACAGTTAATGTAAAGTGTTGCTTGAGACCTAGATCTAAATCACTGGTGTCAAATTCATTCTAGTTCATGGGCAACATACCATCCACATGGACCAGTCAAATCACTGCATTAAAAAAAACAAAAATACTCTGAATATTAATTATGATCGCATCTGGACACAAGAACCTGATCTCCCATGAGCGCAGCAATGTGGCAGGTCTTCCCTCCAGGCGCAGCGCACATATCCAGGATGCGCTCCCCAGGGCGAGGTCCGAGCACGTGTCCCACAACCACAGACGGGAGGTTCTGCGCAACATGGATTCGCTTCAGTATGGGCAGTGATGTGGACATAACATGTATACAATACAGTTCCTGGTTGATTCAGACTGAAACCTCACTGCTGCTCTTTTTAAAATGGACCTAATACGTTATTCTACATTGTCTGTCATTCTGTAGGAATGTTTTAGGCAGTTTTTTAAATTCTTGGATCAGTATGATGTCATAAAGAGCGGATATCCTATCAGACTCCTGATCCACCTGCTGCTCAAACCATCTGTTTGCAAGGTGCAGCTGTTCCAGAACAATACAGGACAGTTTATCTGAGCCATAGGATAAATTGAGGGGCTACAACAAAGCCAGTTATAACAGAAAATACGGATTATTTTGGAAATCAGAATTATAGGTCCACTTTAATAAAGGTCCAATGCGGTTCTAGTTTATTACACCGACTTTAGCTCACTGCGGCTCTAATAAAAAATACCTGCAGGAACGCTAGGCTAGGTAAGACACCATCAAAGGACGGACTTCTGTAAAGCGGCTCCACCATTCGGATACCGATACCTCTGAAAGGAAAAAAGACGACAACTAATCAGCTAACACGTTTCTAAGATGAAGAGTAAATTTAAAGTTTCTATCCACATTGTCCAAGGTGCTTTTAAAAAAGAGCAAGGGATTTTCAACATAGCATTTCAAAACATACAAGAGTTCTTTAGAGACCATAAATTATTTCCAAACAGCACAAATTCTATTCAAAGCAAAAAATAAAGAACTGCCAGGTAATATTCAGAGTATGTTTATTTTGAAAGAAGGAAGTTATAATTTAGGGGTTTTTCTAACTTCAAAACAGGGAAGGTCCGTACTAGAAAAAGCTTTTGTGTTTCTGCTCATGGAGTGAAACTGTGGAACGGTCTGAATATGGAATTAAAAAAGACAGTGTTTACTTACCTGGCAGGCTCATCTGTGCAGAAGATAGTGGAGCGGTCCATTTCGGCTACTCCATTACCCACAAATACCTTCTTCCCCCGGAAGCTGGTGGCTCCTCGGGTGCACTTGCCCTCCAGGTCAGAGAAGACGGACACCAAATCCCCCGCCTTCATGTCTAACAAGAAAACAAAACAGCACACGGTTCGGTTTAAGGAAGATAATCAACACTTGGAACAAATGAAGATACTTTGGCAAAAAGTAAAACGTGCTTCCAAATCACAGAGCAGGTGAAGAAAACAAAGACACCACTGCTCTAAGAATTCACAGCCTCACTTCACTTCTACTGTTTTTAAGTCTTACATTTGGGGCTGCCGAGGATCCCCGGGGCAAAGACGTGAGCGCCTCTCAGTACGGCGCCGCCACACTGAGCGCCCACCACCACCTCTGAGCCGAGCTGCTTCACAGGTCTGAGAGTACAGGACAAAGAACGATCACACGGTTACAGAGGATACACGCACAAAAATGCCGTTCTTCTCTTTGACTGACAGTTTGATGGCAGCTATCTGAGGGTGTGTTTGTTGTTCCTTTGTTATCAGAAATATTTCCTGTGTTGTTGCTGTTCCACTTGGATGTTGGAAAACCTCAGAGGCCCAAGTGGTGCTGAGTGCGACCTCTACAGAGCAGATTAAGAGTTATCTGAAGCATTCCTCGCATACCTCGGACCTTCAACAGGAAGGATCAGCACATCTGCAATTCGTGGGTGTGGCAGAATCTGCACAGAGACTTCCTCTGCTGACGAGCTGCACATCAGCTGCTAGAAAAACAATGACAAACTAAATAAGCATGACTCCAACACACTGCAACCAAATACCGAAGCCCATTGTGTGGGTTTTCTTACGCCCTCTACATTCTGTTACCAGACAGAGACCCACCTTCCTCAGCTCTTCTGCCAGCTGCTGCCTGATCTCCTCAAGGGGGGCGAGATGGGTGCTGGCTCGTACGCAGGTGTATGAAGGTGGGTGAGACAGACATGAGAGCAGCTTGTTGAAACGATGCTCTGCCTCCTGATGACCCACCGCCGTTAAAACCTAATAAAATAGAAGGGTTAGGTAATAAAAAGCATACAGTGTGCCTTTATGTTGATGAAGTAACACAAAAGAACTGTTTGTAAATGGTAAACAGACTGGTACTTATAAAGTGCTTTTCTGCAAAATACAGACTAAGAGCATAGACAAAAATCTAATGACAGGGTCACCTGATCCAACCCTAACTACCTCTATACTTTAACTATATTAAAAGCACAGAGGGTGTCTATTCCCTGAACCCAAACTGGAAGCAGGTTCCACAGGAAGGGGGCCTGATGGCTGAAGGTTCTGCCTCCCATTCTACTTTTAGAAACCCCAAGTAAGCCCGCAGTCTGAGAATGAAGAGCTCCATTAGGATAATAAGTTACTATGAGGTCTTTAAGAGATGACGGTACCTGATTGTTAAAGGCTTTGTATGTGAGGAAAAGGACTTTAAATTCATTTTCTGGATTTAACAGGGAGCCAATGAAGAGATGCCAACATAGGAGTAATATGATGCTTCTTTGTTGTGCCAGGAGGCTTTTAGGGAGCTTTCAGATCAACCCAGTAACAATGAATTACAATAGTCCAGCCTAGAAGTAATGAATAAATTAACTACTTTTTCAGAATCAGTATCCAGAATGTTTCCTGAGCTCTTTCAATGTCTGACTGCATACAACAGAAATGTAATATGAATGATTTGTAAAAAACAAATGAACGAGAGAACCCATCAGTGTTTAAGGGAGCAGGACTTATGTTAAAGATTACTTAATATTTCTTGTTAGAAAGTCACATGTAACCGTTTTGTAACTCTCAAAGGGTTTTCGTGACTGTTATGCGGAGAGAGATTTGCAGAAAATATACTGTAACAGCTAAATGAAAGCACACGCCGATAAATGACGACTTGTAGCATCCTAACTACTCCCTCAGTGAGTTATCTTTTCATTTGAAAGGGAAGACAGCGATTCCAAGAAGTGCATGTGAAGTCTTCTTACCTCCTTGTTTAAGAAGACACTCTTAAGATATTCAGTCACTTCAGGCTTCAGGGAAATTCGTGGGAAAATCGACATTTCCTCTGTTTAACAAGGCTTCAGACTGTGGAAAGGAAAGCAGGAAAGCAACACGTGTCAGATGGACATCTTAATTATCACCGCCACTGGATTAATGTGGAAACCTAAAGAGGCCAACAATTCAGCGATACCTGTTGTACAGACCAAAATGTTATCGCTAGACCAGGCAATTTCTCCAAGTATATGAAAGATCGTATCACTTAAACGACTCTGTAACATTCAACAAGTCCGCTTCTTAAAATTTATTTAATACATTGACTGTTAAATTCTCTTTCCGCTCCAGGTCTGATTTCATTGTAAATGTGCTTTTAATTGTATTTCGTTGCTCACTTCTGTGCAGCGTGGAGTCCACCGGATTGTTTTGGCATTCTACTTGCAAGTACTTCCGCATACATCATAGGCCACGTGACACAAATTGTCTTTCTTTTTAATTTTTTTTTATTGATTTTTCTCTTTAATTAAACAGAATAGATATATTAAAAAAATCTAAATAAATTCTAAATAAAAAGAAACAAAAAATTGTGCGAAGAATATGCTCAAGAATAAATCCACCAAAAAGAAAACAGCATTTTCAATAAATAAATAAACAATTATAAATAATAAAAAAATAAAGTTTATTTGCATGTTTTGCATGTGTGTGTGTGCATGTGTACGTGTGTGTGTGTGCATAAATCTTTGTCTTTTTTGTTGTGTTTAAACAGTAAAGCAAGTTATAAAATAATATATCCATCAAAGTTGCATAAAAATGTATTTATAAAAACATAACAAGTAAAAACTTTATCAAAATAGTAAAACATTTAAAATCATGACATTTAAACATAAAACTTTTTGTTTTAAATGTTGGCTAAACTCCTTTTCCTTAGGAATTTTATAGTTATAGGCAATATAATTTAGAAGCAAATAAAGGTGGAACCGAAGTGTTAGCGGCTTGGCTTCATTGATAAGAACTATTCCTAAAAAAAGAAGAAGAAGAAGCAGAAACTGGAGATTTAAAAGACAAACATGCCACGATGCGTAAACGTCACCACGTAACCGGAAGATAACTGAGCAGTCGGGATTGCTTTTTTCACCGGACAACTGGCAGCTAACGGGCAGAAGAAGAGAGGAGTAGATACTCACGGGGACTACACAGCTGCTCTGTACACACAGGGATTATTTGTACTTCTTGTGGGGGCTTTAGGCTTTACTTACACCTACACCATAATAACGCATCCCGGTATTGTTTTAGATCTGGTTTTAGCTTCATGGCTTAGATGTTTTAGATGGAGTTCGCATTGAAAAGGTCGCTGAGGTGTTTTGTAGACCAGAGCTCTTTGAGCTAGTGTTAGCTAGAAGCAGCCAGCCGCGGACTGCACGGTGCGGACCACAGAGTGGAGAAAGTCGCTCTATCCACAGAGGGACGGACATCGGCATTTATCCCTAACAATGGGCCTCATACTCGCCAAACTGTGGAGCTTCTTTTGTAACCAAGGTGGGTGTCGGTTTTTGCAGCTCACTTATCTCCCGCCGGCTTCTCAACCGGGGATAAGGCGAACTGTTAGCCCGTTAGCATGAAGAGGGCAGCTGAGGTGCCACAATAGCATATGGCAGAATTATCTCCCCACACATCTATTTTATTTATTTATTTTTACTTAAGCACTGCCATCTGAACTGTCTTTGTTTATCTTGTAAACCAGGGTACTACTCTCCACCCGCATGACGCCACCCAACATCGTAACTGTTAATCTGTTTATCAACCGATATAATTACCTTAAGAACCTACAGGAGTATGTTCACAGTGTTGTCAATCAGCTTTGGCTCACTGTCCAGGACACGTCGCCCTTACATAACTTTTCCTTGACTTTCTGGAAAGCTGTTTACTGTAAATATAATTATTCAGTTGTGGCTCCAAGTGTCCACTTAAAACAATGGAACTAGTCTAACTAGTATTTTGCTGCCGTTTATGATAGGTTACCAAGCTGGATAACCAGCATTATCGTGTAATTTCGAGTTTTAAACTATGGAGGACAGAATTTGAGAAAAAATACAATTCAACCCAAAAAATATATATTAAACAGACAAAAGGTTTACTCCTTTCCTCATCACTTGCATCTTGGAACAGTAAAGAAATGTATACATGTCGAAAGAAGTACCAAAATAAGCTCTCGGGTAATAAGAATATCTAAACAAATTTCAAATTATTGATTTTTAGGTAGTTTTGGTCCTCTGTATTAAAGTATTCAATGTGGGTTTGCCAAATGTCCTCCAATGCAGTGTCAAGTATTCATTAACTGTACAGCTTCAACTTTCTGTTTTTTTTTCCCCCTTACTGTAAGTGAGTGTTATTTTTCTTAATAATGAGGAATAGGAAGTGTAAATCATTAATGAAGGATGTGGTTATATTTACAGATAGAATTTGTATTTTCTGTTTGATTCCAGTCATCATTTGTCATCTGATAGGGAATTATTTTTTGTGCTCTTTAGCATGTGTTATATTGCTTACTTACTGCCTGGCCCTAAGAATGGCAAATACCTACTTTCATTGTTACCCAATTCTGGATTAAACTATTCCCAGTGTCAAGTTTTACTTACTTAAGGAGACTGCTGTGTGGTTTGTGTGAAATTGTTGGGACTCAGACTAGGAGTTGAATCTATGTCATCATCACCATGTAATTGTATTACTAGAGATGTGGTTGGAGACACAAGAAGTGATTCTTCTTGGTGTATGAATCCCTTTGTGTTATTTTTGCCGAATTTTAATTCTTTAGTGCATTCTAGGAATAAATGTTTCCTTTCTCTGGACATCATATGCGTATTTTTCCCTGTGTGGTGACATCTATTTGAATTTTTGTTGATAGTTAAACTCTAAAAAAAACAAAACCAAGAAAGCCAAACCAAAACCTCTTTGGTGGGTGCCAACATTTTTATTTATTTATTTTTTAATATATGCAGGAAAAACCGCAAGCAATATACATGTAAAACGTTTGGAAAGCCAATGTAGTTCATCAAAACCCTCAGAGCTGCGATGCCCTTTGGCCAGACTTCCTTCCTTCCTCTCAGCCGGAGGCCTCGCAAGGGCAAGAAGTTAAAACACTGGCCTGAAATATTTTAGTATCTACATGTTCCTCCAATTCTGCATTTAGCCCACCATGTTTGCCTGTCTCACACCAGCCTCAAACCCTCATTGTTGTTCTATGTTCTAGCTTGTTATATGAATGAGAGGAGTTTAGTGTAGGTCTAGGGTTGTTTGTTTATTTGGGAAAAGTAGGTCAGGAAGACATGAGGTAGGAAGTAAGTTTTTGAGGTTTTTATTTTTTTGGTGTGATTGCTTTTTGTGAGCTTGATCCGGTTTTTGTTTCAAACTGTATACTTTCAAATTAATTTCTGAGTTGTTGTTTTTTTGTTTTTTTGTTTTTTTTTTGTTTTCCAGAGCACAAGGTGATCATTGTGGGACTAGATAATGCAGGGAAAACCACTATCCTCTACCAATTGTAAGTACTTTTTTCAGTTTGAACCTTCCTTCCTGAATGCTTTTAAAGTTGGAAAAACACAAACCCACTTTGCATTTCTGTTTTATTCAGTCTAATGAACGAGGTGGTCCATACTTCTCCCACCATCGGAAGCAATGTGGAAGAAATAGTGGTGAAGAACACCCACTTTTTAATGTGGGACATAGGTGGGCAGGAGTCTCTCAGATCCTCCTGGAACACCTACTACTCCAATACAGAGGTGAGAAACACCTTGCAGAGTCTTTCACACTCGACAGTAGCCATGTATTGTCGAGCACAGTTTTCTCCCTGAGCACAGCAGCTGGTGTTTGCTCGGAGCACAGACGGCAGCATAGGCCGCCCAAGTCAAAGGTCACCCTATTCACAAAGGAGCCGGTCTGAGAAGCAAAGGGGTCAGCTGCCACAGTAAAAAGACAAACAGCAGAGGCAGATGTGTATGAGAACTTAAAGACCGCTCTTTACAATATTCACTAAAGGTTTATATCCATTTTGGCTGCTTCATGATTTGAATACAAAGCTCAATTCCTCATTGTTCCCTATGCTTTCTGTGGGAGCATTCCATTATCCTAAAATGTCTCCTCACATATTCACTTGCATCTCTCTCTCTCCCTCTCTCTCATATCCTCTTTGTGATGTGTTAGAGATCCAAAAAAAGACGTGTGAGCGTGGAGGAAGTAAAGCTGTCAAAGCTTCAGCTCCTCCCCTGATGGCAAACTTTGTTCTTTATGTGGAGGTGCAGCATTAATACATCATGTCGCCTGATATAAGACGTGATTATACACCTGGGTGTCCTTGCTCTAAGCTGCTCCAGAATCCAACCTTTCCCTCATTCCTCAAGGTGGATCAAGGTGATGATGATGGCTGATTCGGAGCAGTTCCTAGGTTGTGGGAGAAGCGAGAGTTGGCATAATGTAAACCACCCCATGTCGGGGTTTCTGGGAATTCTAAGAGGCAGTATTCAGCATTTTTATTGACTGCTTTTATTGGGAATATATTAACGGTCAGTTATTGATTTTTTTTTTTTAAACCTCAGACTGCTAGTAAATTAATTAATTAGGAGCTGTTAATGAAATAATGTATTTGTTAGTAAACTCAGTATATTTTTTGGAAAAAAAACTTCAAATCTAAGAACCTGCTTTTCACTTTCACATTAATATAACGTGAATATTGATAGGTTTAAAAAAGTAATTGAAATATGTGAATTCCAGGAATTAAGGATGCAAAAAGGAAACCCTATGAGATTAATTATGTGACTGATTATTATGGAAAGGTGAGTTAAACTACTGTAACATTCAGGTGTGTTTGTATCAAACAGTGGCTAAACTGATGCTGTAGACTTTACTGCAGCTCTGCAGTTACTGGAGTAGCTTGTATTTATATTTTGATTGTAAAGTCAAGTGGTCACATAACAGTTTGTGCTCCAAGTCACTTTCGTGTTGAATAACGTGTTGGTCTGTGTCATCTTCTGGTGGTCGTTGCCTTAGTTTTGATGGTGTGTCTCACATCTCTTCCAAATTAACATGCCTTTGGCATTTTGTCATACAGAGACAATTTTTCTTATTCAAGAGGGGATATTTGCATAGCACTCACCACTTCCCATTGTGAGGGTTTCAGCCTCGGAAATGCCCACCCGCTGTGTTGCATTTTGTTGCTGTGCCTTTTGAAAAGAGGTCACTTAGCATGGACTTTTTTTTTTCTTTTTTTTTTCCCCAGTTCATCATTCTGGTGGTGGACAGCACAGACCGAGAGAGGCTGGCTATCTCTAAAGAGGAGCTCTACAGGATGCTGGCCCATGAGGTAACACACTCAACTCTTCCTAGTATGACCATATATGACGATAACGCAGGACGATGGCCAGGCTTTTCCTCCACCAGCATTGTTTAGAGTTTGTGGTTCA